TATGGCGGTTATTATGAAACCTTAAATGAGACATATTAGTGCCATTCCATGAAAAGCGTCATATGGTCCACAAGTAAACCTTAACGAGAAAACAATGGGCGGAACTAAATACAATGGAATTTTGAAAGGGGATCTGAGGTTATGGAGCCTGCATATCACAGATATAACGTCAAAAGACAAATTTAAAAAGCAGACCTAATATCCTAAGGGTGATTCAACAGTATTCAAGTGAGGAATACTGGAACAACCCAACAAGAAAGATGCCGAATAGAAAGAACTAAAATACTACAAGCACAACAATAATGTCGTGCTAAACGATCTTTAACGATCGGAAATATAACATCCCTGATTGAATGTACCGGGCGACTTTTTACAGCCTCCATACGGGACAAACAACGCTGATGTGGCGATAAAATAGAGTGAAATAAGAATCCCTAAAGAAAGCCCAATACGGCAAAATTGAAAATGTTGCAGGCTCGGTTTGATTGAGTCTGTTCATGGACGGTACTGTCAAGTGCAAACTACCGTCCACGCCCCCAAGCACCGGCTTAAGCAGAATTTAACAATTAGCATGAACTGGTAAAATTTAGAATTTTGAAACATCCGCAGATGTGTTCATATGGCGGTTATCATGGAGCCTTAAATGTGACACGTAGTGCCATTCCATGAAAAGCGGCATATGGTCCCCAAGTAAAACATTGCGTGTGCCCTAAACGAGAAAACAATGGGTGGAACTAAATACAATGGAATTTTGAAAGGGGATCTGAGGTTATGAAGCCTGCATATCAAAGATATAACGTCAAAAGACAAATTTAAAAAGCAGGCCTCATATCCTAAGGGTGATTCAACAGTATTCAAGTCAGGAATACTGGAACATTCCAACAAGAAAGATGCCGAATAGAAAGAACTAAAATACCACAAGCACAACAATAAAGTCGTGCTAAACGATCTTTAAGGATCGGAAATATAACATCCCTGATTGAATGCACGGGGCAACTTTTTACAGCCTCCACACGGCACAAACAACGCTGATGTGGCGATAAAATAGACATAAAGTCACATATATAAAATATCACTATAGCAACGATTATGATAATAATTTGATATATAATACATACTTAAATATTCATAACTTAGCTTTTACACTTGATAATTTTCAACAGAAATATACATAGATATAAACGACAAAAGCATCTATTTTTAAGATATTAAATATGTAAATATAAAGAATCAAATGAAATTACAAAATATTTTAAATGCATTAAGTTCAATACATTATGTATTACTATAACAGCAGTATTGTTTACCATATTTTCAATTCTAATCTAGATTACAGGAACCAAATCGAACGTTGATATCAGTAGAAACACTTTTGCAGTGTCTGAAGTAAATCATATTTCATGTGATCATTTTAATGTTTCTATGAATTAATAATATAACATCGCTTGCAATTAAATTTCTATTATAAGCTTCAAAACATTGATGGATAAATTCTGAACAAAAAATAAAAGTTTTTATATAAAAATATGATTATATCAAATGGTAAGGCTTATGTTCAAAGTAGAACTTTTACAACAGATTGATTATGAACACAAAAGTTATATCCGTATCTTGCATCAACATATTGCACGTACGAGCTGATGTAAGGTTTCTAGTTCATCCTTTCTTCAATCAGTATTATTGAAATCACTCTGCCGTCATTACCAATGAAATCTTCTTTATGTTGTATCATGCCTTTCCCAAGTGTCTACACTGGTCAGATTTCCAGACACATTCCCAATGCCAAACATGTTTATTTTTACCAATCTTTGAAAAAAATCCCAATCAAACTGAAATTCTCGATATAAAAACTGACAAATTTGCTGGATTTAATTCGAATGAGGTATCACACAGATGTTTCCTAACATTTCATTGTCACATTTTAATGTTTGCTATGAATGATATTTGCATTGGCTTGAACGAATTTGTACAATTCAAAACACTATGCCAAAGGTGCACGAAAGAGGTTTTAAAAGGTTCCAAATATTTTTTCCGTCAGAGCAATTTTAAGACGCAACATTTCCAAAAATTGGCAAAGTACTTTCTCCCAAAATGGTTGCGAAAATGCCCTGGTATAATGTGAATTAATGTTTGATAGTCAGTGGGAGTAAAAATAGTATCAGTTAAGTTAACTCACATTTTCTTTTCAAGGTTGCATGGTCTGTTATTGAGAGGACTTCGTTCAAACATTTTATCAAGGTTTTTGGTATGATTTGTCTACAGCTTTGTACATTGTATAAATACAACCTTTGTCACCTTGTCAGCAGGGTTCGACTTTGGATATACTTTCTTCATACATCCCACACCGAATTGTTCCTGTTTAGACTGCAACGCCGCAATGTTTGTATCTTTTGGTATGAACCCTATCAAATAGTCGTGAAAAATACATCAGTAAAAACCTAATTGTAAATCATGTATCATTTGTAACGACGTAATTAGAGTACTGTGAATGTGCTTTGAGAACAATTGATACTCCTATGGTATACTGAATAGATAAACCCGGACTACTATTATGCGTTACGAGAACATCGGAGTGTCACAGGTTAACTGTATAAATGCGAATGCAATAGATGGGTAATAAGTACGGTACTTGTGCAGGAAATACATGAAATGTGCCGCTGATACGGAAAAAGCGCCATCAGTACAGTAAAAATACATAGAATACAGAAATAAACGCCTAGAATACGAAACAATGAAACAGTAGCCAAGTGTACAAAATAAACGTCTAGAGTACAATAGAAACGCCTAGGGTACGGTACAGAGGAAACGAGTACAGTAGAAACGGCTGAAGTACAAAAGAAACGCCTAGGGTACGGTACAGAGGAAACGAGTACAGTAGAAACGGCTGAAGTACAATAAAAACGCCTAGGGTACGGTAGAGAGGAAACGAGTACAGTAGAAACGGCTGAGCAATAGAAACGCATAGGGCACGATACAGATGAAACGAGTACAGTAGAAACGGCTGAAGTATAATAGAAACGCCTAGGGTACGGTACAGAGGAAACGAGTACGGTAGAAACGGCTGAAGGACTCGCTTTTCTTTTTGTCGCTTACAAGGAGGCCCCATAAAGAACGATTTTCATTTTACGCTCATATTGTTACTGTCTAATTCCTGATCATCATTAGAATGATGTCAGTCATCATCATTATCATCATTATCATCAGCATAAGACTCATCAGTATTTGACAAGTAAGCTTTACCAGGTACTGGTTCTTCAGAATTTTATCCATATTCATTTATTATCTTAGCATAACTTCTTGACTGTTAACCTTAAAATGACACTACATAAACTATATTCTTCCAAGATGCTCCACTTCACGTCTACCACCAAATAACCTTAAGGCCTCAACATACGGTATGATTAAGTTGTACACACTAATTAGAGATAAGATGTACAATTTTCAAAGCTGTACAACACTTACATTCAGACGGTAATTCTACACTGTAAGAATCATCTGAGGTTTCCCCTAAAAAAGGTCCCTTTACATTGATCCTTTACATACTTTACTCACCAAATACGTTTTTTCGCCATGAGTAATGATTGAAACACCTTCATTTAAAAAAAATTAATATATATATTTTTTTAATGTGAAGCCTGACCGAGACTCAAACCTGGAGCCCTCGGAATACTGTACTGCGGCTCTACTGACTATTAGCTATAAACTACCTCCCCTCCCCTAATTTATGTAATTAGAGAACAACTCAATACCGTGACATAATCATTTTCGGAATAATTTTGGATTCGAACATAACACAACTTTGGGTCTCCTGAAGAGTTTTTCAACATCATTTTTACCCCATCTTACTACTATGTTTACCTTTTAGCCCTAATTGCTCTGGAATTTCATTCATTACACCCATTATAAGGAAATATTTTGCTTATCTGTTACTTGTCATCGTGGGAGGTCTGTAAAAATCCGTACGACAAGATTTTCAAACTATCCCTTACATCTAGACTTAAGGTTTCCGAAATCAAGAAATAGTAGCCTTCACACATTAAGATTTGTCTGTACATCTTAGTTTTAATTGGTGTTGTACTTCAAAATCCTACCGTCTGTTGAGGCCTTTATTTTTTATGTCAATACATACGTTAATCTCATATTTAGATAAAAGTGTTGTCTGTTGATCTTGAAGGTAATTGAGCTTGCACGCGACAGGCAAATGTCATGAGTCGCTTCAAATTAAAGGTTTACCACGGAATTTTGGAAGTTTTAGGGTATTCCCGTTTTGCAACTAACTTTAAGGCCAAATGAATTGCAATCCCGAGTATTGGAAAGTAAAGACTCTTTTAAACTCTACATAGTAGCTATTGCAAAAATTATTATACATAAATAAGTTTTATCCTGCTCATTAGGAGACGTTTACAATTTCCTAATTAGGCCTTTTTAACTCTTTAAGACATAGATAATGGCAATGTAATGTCAATACTATCCAATTATCCAGTTGAATTATAATGCACATGTGTAAATGAAGTTTTTTTGGTGTGTCATAGCGTTGGCCTTAAATATTAATAATTGGAGCATAAGCGTTATTTTAAGTATCGTCTTTTCAAACATGGCTTTTTTCAAAATTTAAATTTTACTGCGTAGCAAACTGACAAGTAGGTCACGTATTTTTTCTGTTACACCATTTATTGAGCGAATGCCATAAATCAATGGCGTTCTTGCTGATACTCCAATATTTCAATAATTAATTACACAGAATGTCAAAAACATGTTAAATTTTAAAATAAAATATGAAAATAAATAATTGTTAGCGTAGTTAGATGTATAGCTATTTTAGTCGATTGTGTCGGAAATTTAATGAAACACTCTTTGATGTTTACATGAGTGTATATTCCTATGGGATAAAACTAATTGCAAAAGAAATTCCTTTTGTTTCATCTCATTTTCATTTCATTTCCAAAATAAATTATATGCAGAAAATCCAAAGAGCTTAACAAATTAAAACAGCAAGTACATACAATGTAACAGAATTTATATTAGATATAGTTATTTTGTAATATTTGACTAAAACTGTTTTATACAGGATTTTTAACATCGATAAATATCTGGGTATCCTCTTAAATGCAAAGCTATTATTGTTAAACTCACCATAATTATTTTATGTTTGCTTATTTAGATATTGCAATTACTTTAAACTGATGTATTGCAATATAAATACATATTCCGTCATGACTTTTACATGATAAAGAGTTTTTGTTTTCGCAAATTCAAATCTTGGATTTTCATTTATCAGATATCACATCATTCACCCATACCTCTCCAATATGGCATACACATGTGAATTAGCGGTATAACAATAGTAATATACAACGCATATTGAAATTGTCATGAACATTGTATGTATTTACTTTGCAATAAAGGTTAAAAAGAAACATTGCATCTAAGCGAAATATTGTCCTTTCTCAACCAAAATTTGTTTTGATGTGTAATTTAACAAATTTAATTGCTAGTAAATAACTTAAAGTGTACAAAAACAGTAAAAAATACGAGAGAAATCAAGAAATTATGAAACATATATGTAAATTTTAGAAAATAATACAAAACAGTGTCAATTGTTACGTTTTGGCATTATTTGCCGGATCTTTGGCTATTAAATGAAACAAAACTGCTACCACAAGTGCAGTTTCATCAGAAATATAACTACTTGATGAAAATTTACACTTATATCTTGAGTAAAAAGACTGCGAAATTTTTGCTTGAAATATAGCAATTTGAGATGAAGTCTAGTTTGAAATCCGAGAAAATTGTCCCATTTATCTCCTCCTGTTATAGGCTTAACAAGGTTTTGTAAAAATTTCAATGTATCCCTATCCACCTGGACATCTTCATGTCTATTGTAATCTGTCAAATTTACCAAGCGCTGTTTTCGATTATCGAAAGTTCCTTCCATGATGAGTGTTTGTACAAGTTTTTCTCTACAGTTTCAATGTCATAATCATTGCCGTCATTTTCGTTCCGATATGTTTTCTTTCTCTGTGTTTGGTCTTTGCCATTTATTAGATCACATTTTGTGATTAGCAAATATAGTCTGCACGGGTCTGTAAATGGATATGTGTTGGATACTTTCAGAAAGGTGTTATATCATTAAAATAGAAGTAAACATTGCAGATTTCACGGTCCAATAACTATGATTTTTTAAAGTGGACCTTAATACACAGTCATGTATCCTGTTTTCCTTAACTCCACAGTTTTCGTACCTGCAAGAAAATAGGGTATCGAAAATAAAGTTTGTTGTTGTAACTAAAAGTAGATAAAATATATATGTATTTGTAACAGTTAATAAGATTCAAGTTATAAAAATGTTCATTGATTATATATTTTAGTTAATCTGCATATCCCGCATACAATTAAACACTTACCTTCTTAACTCCTTTGTTAAAGTTTTCGTTTCACCGCATCCTTTTTCATCTATTTCAGAATATTTCCCTGTTAACACTTTGTGTATTGTATTTACAAGAGAACTTTTTTCAGCCCCACTTATTCCAAATATTAATATATTTTCGGGCAATTCAATATTTTCTTGTTCTAAAAGATCGAGAAAAGCTACTGTCCTGTTCTTCTGCCTGAGACAGGTTCATTTGATCTACATTCAAAGGAAATAGAAATATTTATCACAACTTCATTTAACAGAAACTGGTGTAAGTATTAAAGATGCAAAGTCAGTCTTTAAAATGAATTGAGATTTTGTTTACACATTTAAGTAAAAATATGTTAATGTTAAACTGAATGAAACTGAATAAAAAGCGGTATGGTAATAACTCATAAGTAACATTACATGTCATTTTACTCAATTTTCTTGCGTCTTTTTCTGTGGACTATATTTGAATTATATGAAAAATGTTAAACTGTTGGATTTTTAAATAGCGTGTTAAATCTGTTTATAAAGCCAGACATTACGTCAATCGGAATTTACACACTTACTAAATATAATTTTGACATTCAAAAAATATAGGACAACACTAAATATAGGTTTTCAAAGAACTGACGAGAGGAAAAAAAGAGAAAAAAACACCCCACATTCTTAGAATTATCACTTTAAATTTTTTTAAATGCCTTTCACACCTAAAGTGGCACAAACCCTAAAATACGAAAACTAGAAATTCTGATTAATTTAATTTGATGTTTGGGTCATTTTATAAATATGAAGTATGTATGTCTTTTTTTCTATGTTCAATGAGGGTCCGTCCGTTCGTAAAGGCACAAAGGCGTAATTTCCTTATGACACGATACTTATTAGTACAAATGTTAAAAAAGAGGACTCGCCAAAACTCACTAGATGAATGTCAGTTTGAGCCGGGTTCATAAGATTGCTCTTCTTATCATAGAAATGATTTTCTGTGATATCTTTTTCAGCAAAATTGCAGGACAAATGTAAAACAAGAGGGCCAAGATGACCCTAGATCGCTCACCTGACCCATCAATCTCATCGGAATAATTACCTAGACAAGCAATTTGACCAAGTTTCATGACAGGTGAGTCAAAAATGTGACCACTAGAGTGTTAACAATGATTATTCATATTTGAGCAGTGTTACCTAGCTTTTGAACTAAGATGACCCATATTAGAACTTGACCTAGAAATCATCAAAAAAAACTTTCAGACCAATTTCCAGGATACTTGGATCAAAACAGTAGCCACTAAATTGTTAACAATATTTTTCTATTTTTAGATCCTGTGACCTTGTTTTTCATCCGAGACACATGTTCGAACTCATCCGAACAATTACCTAGACAAGCATCCTGACCAAGTTTGATGACAATTGCTTCAAAAATGTGACCATTAGAGTGTTAACAAGGTTTTTCTATTTTTAGCTCATGTGACCTAGTATTTCATCCGAGATGACCCATGTTCAAACTCATCCGAGCAAGTACCTCGACAAGCATCCTGATCAAGTTTGATGTTGATTGAGGCAAACATGTGACCACTAGAGTGTTAACAAAGTTTTTCTATTTTTAGCTCCAGTGACCTAGTTTTTCATTTGAGATGACCCATGTTCGAACTCATCCGAGCTATTACCTAGATTAGCATCCTGACAAAGTTTGATGATGATTGAGGCAAAAATGTGACCGCTAGAGTGTTAACAAATAAGTGTGGAAGGACGACGGACGACGGACATTCAACGATTCTAAAAGCTTACCCTGAGCTAGGTCAGGTGAGCTAAAAAAATTCTGACACTGCTTCAACTAGCAACCGGTTAACGCGTGTATTTACGACAAAAACTAAATATAGATTTTGAAGACTTTAAATAGCTTTTCAAAGAAACGATAACGAAAACTTAATTCCCACTAATAAAAGCCGTAACTCGATACTCAAGTGTAGGTATTTTATTACGCAGAATGAATATTTACCTACATTGTTAGGTTCAATACTTAAGGTTTGCCATAAAAGTTGCGAAATGTGAACAAAGTATTGTATCTGACTTATATACCGAATCCACAATCATTTAAATATTAAAATTGACTTTATAGCGTCACTATGCGGTTGTATGAAAAATAGAAGTCGACTATGAACGGAATTCGATAAAGTATCGAGTTTTGTTCTTCTATGAAATTAACGCACATAAGTTTTAAGAAAATACTGCGGTTTAATTGCATGACAAATAAAGTTGGACACTAAATGCCTTTTGAATAGAAAGAATATAGCTCTTGTCATAAATATGTGTGACGTGATTGACTGGACGATGAACAGTCTTTAAAAAGGTTTTATATTTTCTAAGTTATATTTAGTTATGATAACTTTCAATTGCATAAGCTGTAACACTTAAAAACTAATTAAATTCCTGTAAACTTATCAAGGGAGGAAGAAATGTGTAAGTGGACAGATTAGTCGTAAGAGCCACAGTACGGTATTCCTAGCTTCCCGGGTTAGAGTTACGGTCAAGCTGCACAGCCTTTGACATTTATAACCTCTTTAATTATGATTTTTTTTGCTCAGAACATGGCTTCTATGCACTTAATGTGCAGGGTTCGTATCTTCTTCTTTTATCAAATTTGTAATCAGAATGATTATTTTGGCAGTATTATAATTATAAAAGGTCTCTAAATCATTAGAACAACGTTCAGTTCCAGAGAAAATACAAGTATATACTCATATATGCATTTTGACATTGTGACAAAAAATAAGCACAAAGACACACATATATTACAAGTTTATTTCAGGTTTATTTCAGAAAGGAACAAATAACAAAATTGTATTCATTGCATTTAAACAGGCCGAAGTTTAAAACATGTTTTTTAAGTCATTGTTTCTGTAACTATCCAAATAAAAATATTAGTTTAAAAGTTTATATATATTAAGCTTGCAATTAAAAGGTACACATTTTCTATAAGGACAAACTACATTTGAGAGTTTAAATAAATGATATTTTAAGTTTAAAAGCTTCCTTTATATATTTTCTTACATTGATTCAAATATATCTATTACGAATACAAACTAACTAAATACATAAAATCAATGGTCTATTACAATAATCACTTTTGAAAATATGAATAAGAAAGATGATGTTTATTCTCTAAATCTTAAATGTTACAGCAATCCACAAGGAATGTTATATTTATTGTAAAAAAGGTACATACTGAATACTGTATGCATAATATGAATTATTCTATAAGCTTAATAACACATTATTATTGTTTATGCGACATTCAGTGTTTTATTTTCTGTTGAAATAACAATTCTGTGTTGTTTTACACTAAGCATTTATATGCAAATGCTTGGAAAGCTTTAAACAAAAGATAAAAAAGAGTGTTAAAAGGGCAAACATTCCTGTTAGAAAGTACTTGAAACCCATTTTCACCTTCTCTGTTACAATTAGCTACACTATCATTTATACACTGTATTTATATTAATTCTGACACATCGACACTGTCTGTAAAACAGATATTTTCTTTATTCCTCGAGCATCAGCAAGACTCGTTGTTACATTTAATACATTTGCAAAATTCTAAATTTCTAAGACTGTCTATAACCCAAATTTCAGATCCATATCCAAAGGTAGAACCAACAAAAGCACCAAATAAATGCCATAATAGTTTATTGTACCCTTTTAAATCAATGCCGCTAGCAGGTTGGCGTAAATAATGTGATATGATTTAAGATAAGATATCATTTGATAGCCAATTAATTGTCAAGTTTCGAAAACCAAATTTAGATTTTTTATCAAGAATATTTTATTCAAAAGGATGGAGCATGCTTAATTGGAGAACGTGTTCATGGCCGGGGCACAGTGCATTAAATGTTCCTTTTCTGTAATTCATATACATTATCCATAGATTTTATTTTTTCTGCTGAAACCGGTAGACAATATTAAATCAAAATGTATCAGATAGAGTTCTAATGTGTCCGAGAAATGTTTTCTTTTATACTCAAAAGCTTTTTATTTTTGTCATGGTTTATAAGGTACTGAAAAAGTGAAAATAGTTCAATTACTTGCCTGACATCTATATATGCAAAATTGAAACAAAATTTACGAACGATTTACGAGGAGTGAACAATTTTCTTAATTAAAGCTAGAATAATAGACGAGCATTTTTTTTATAGAAGAGCACATTTTGATTAATCTATAATATCAACCGTATGAAAAATAGTTTCCTATTGATAAGTGTAAGAAACAATTTATATCATTCAACTACCTAATCACATAAGCATGTTTAACATGGGTATAAAAATGTTACCCTATTTTACCCATTTTAAACACTAGTTTTACCATTTCCCTTATTTAAGAGATAAGTAAAAAATGGCAACAGACAAAATACAATAACCATAAAAATAATCTGTGTTGACATACAACTGTTATTTCTGTACCATGCTCTTATTGCCATGTCTATTTTACTCTTTATTGTTAACACTGGAACCATGTCTACATCCGGGGCAGTGCCAGGTGTCATGATTAATTTTATAAACTTCAGAGCACAATGCTCTATAGCTGGATTATGACATTCAGGGTTTATACTGTCTGAATAGCTTGTCCATCTGGTAAGGTGATCATTCCGATTTCCATCAATACTGAATAGCTGAACTATTTCTTTTTCTATTGCCATGTAATCATCTTCCGTTATTGTTTCGCTGTTTTCACTATCATATTCGTGTTGCCGTTTTACCAGGTCGTACTTCGTCATTACGACATGCACATTTCCCGAGTCTGAAATTTTAATCCTATTTCATAATATTAATGATATAGTACGAAAATGAATCAGTTCTTTGTAGATCGCTAAAACAGACTAGTACCTTCGGGAGACAGTTCAAAATGTTTGAAGCATTAAAGTGTTAATTTTCAAAAGCTTGAGTATTTAAAAAAAAACAATTTATTTCAAAGTTCTCATATTGCTGTAATTTGAAAATCTCAAAAGGGAAACCAAAGATTCCACAAAAATTACTTATGGACCCAGCTTGTCACTTGTGTGAATGACGCGGGGCCAAAAAAATAAACAGCAATGGAAAGCGGATGTAAAAATCATTTTTTATTATTGTAAACATTCATATTAAACTTACACAAGAGTTGTGCTGACTTGGGGTCGGCTTTTGTGAGGACTTCATGAAGACATGCAATCAACTTCTTTGGTGCGGGTTCGCGGCAGCTATGTACAAACAATATGGTAGTGATTTTCCACTCTTGTCTAGAGTCTGTGAAAATACTCTCTTTTAGACTACCTAATCGATACTCTTTTTGCAATTGTTTTAATGCTCCTAGACTTTTTCCAGGAGGTATATAACCTGAAATGTTTAATAAATTTCATTACTCCGTACATTTAACATTGATACAGTACGTTCAATCCGCATCGAAAATAATGATTTACGGATAATTGAGTTAACTTTTGTATACTGTAGTCAACATTTTAGTGATGGCAAATTCGAAAACAATATACAAAGTCACTTCATCGAAAATGTTACCGGAGCATCTACATTTTAATGGAATTGTTTATAGTTTTAATGCAGTCATGCTTCTTTGAAATTATGAAAATATAGAAAAGGGATAAATAAAAGCTACAAAGAAAGTTTTATCTAATCTTTCCATTAGCGATAAATGGAAGTGCAACGTAAGTCATGTTGTTTGCACTCAAAGACATGCACTTTTATTTCAAACATACTTTCATCTCGTTATATGTAAATGGAATATTAGTAAACTGTTCTATTTTGACTATTATTTTATCAAATTTCAATGAATCTTCCTACCTCCTAATACCAGTTCAAGCAGTTCCTGTAAACGTTTGTCATCTGTGTCTTCTAGTCCAGGAAAATCATAAACCGTTGGCAGCCTAGGTAAAATGACCTTGACCCGCCGTCTGCCATCTATAATGTCATCCTCTGCTACACCAACACTCTCGAACCTTTCATATAAATATTGTAATTAGTGGCAATGATAAACGTCGTTGTAATCGTCAGAGAAAATACATCCTAATATTTCATTAAAAATTATTCTACAATCCAGTGACAGGTTATTTATGTTTTATTTTAAAACAATTACCTTCCTAAAGTTTTTGTCTTCGATGAAGACGACCCTTTACCAGCTTCGGCTCTGGAAATGTATTTCCCGGAAAATGCCTTTCCTATAGTATTGATTAAGGAACTCTTGCCAGCACCAACCTTTCCTATCAACAATATATTTTCCACGCTTCTATTTGTCCGACTACATAGTTGTTCAATTTCTGTTAGTAGATTCTCATTTTCTTGGTCGACATTGATCTCCCTATCAGTTCCTGCATGTTGTAAATCCTGACCTGACATAGCTTTATGACGATACTTAACCTTGAATAATTGACAAATATGTGCATATTAATTAACGTCTTATCACAATACCATTGTAATTACTGTATAACATTATTATAATATTTTATGATATATTTTTTAGTATTGTTAGACTATAAATTGGTGTAACTAATTTTCATTCTTTTTATTTATATCATTCGTTTTAATAGATTCTCAGCTCAGTAAAATGAAATAACACTATCCGAAAATATGCCGTAATACGACCATTTAAAGCAACAAATATATTAATTTCATTACCAAGTTTTTTATACATTCTTATTTATATTTATGTATTCATTTTATATTCATTTATATTTACAGTGTATGTATTATAAGTTGTCCTCGCGTGTTTATGAAAATTTGAATCTAGTCAAAAAGGAAAAATAATTGTTACACATATATAAATATTTCTGTAAATTAAACAAACTCATCAGGAAACACAACATAAATATCCTAAAATAAATAAATAAATAATAACTAAAAACGTACAAAAAATGTACCGAATAAATAGTATATTTATTTAGATATTCTATTGTTTCATAAATTATACAATGCAATTATGTTAATAATTGACTAAATTACGTACAAACCTGGTTAAAATTGAGTTAGTTTTTTAACTCTTATTTCTTTTATCTTATAGCCATAATATTTTTATGGGATTCCAGAATAATTTTTCCATTTTCTCCTATTTTAAGCTCGAATTCTGAAACACGTAATCATTAATATAAATAGATCGAATGGATTGATTTTCCTAATAATAATATTTACACAAAATACATTTAATATAACCCAACAGTAGACAAAGGAATAAATAACAATATTATGTACATATCAATAGCTAAAAATGATTAATCACAAACAAGTTACCTTTTAAAATTAAATTAAATTAAAGAGGTACCATTTTGGGTAAGGCTTCAAATCTTGATGGTGTAAACTAATTAATTGTCTCTTATTGTTAAAGAAATATGTATCTGACGTGGAAGACGGACAACCCTCATTTGACTAGAAGTGGCGGTAGGCCGTGAAGTCTGCGAGAGTTAGTGCCCCTTATTTAATTTATAATAAGTATAGAAGAAGGCACGGATAAGAATTCTTTACCTGATGGGTAAATCATATTCGGCATTTTACTAGTTTTCAAGAGGGGGTCGCTAGTCTTATTTATAAGGAACACACAAGGAATCACATCATTCTAAAATTAAAGTATGCACATAGGCATACATATACCGCATACATTTACCGTTTCAGACACCAAAACCCCCAATAGATAAGCGTAAAACATCTGTAAGTATATTTTAACGGGGAAAAATTGAGTAATTTATCATAAAACTGTATGCTAACATCTTAATCATCAAATACCATCCTTGCTTTTTAAATTGAATTCTTAAACATAGTTTTTAAAAGTTTATAAGGAGCATACAAGGAATCACACCATACTAAAATTAAAGCATGCACATACGCATACAAATAACGCATACATTAACTGTTTCAGTATCCCCCATAACCCCCTCCCAAACCCCCAATAAATAGGCGTAAAACCTCTGTGAGAATATTTTAGAGGGAAAAATTTGAGTAATGTATCATAAAACTGTATGCTTAAATCTTAATCATTAAATACTATCCTTGCTTTTTTAATTGAATTCTTAAATGATTGTTTTTTCAAAGTTTCGGTACATTGACAATTATTTCTTTTCTGTTAAATACAAATCATTTGTATTTTGGCAAAACTTCCTTCCTATTAAACGAGTTTCACTTTTGAGACAATTTAACCGTAAATACAATGTTTTATGGTAATTCGTAGTTCTCTTTTGTCCATCTACAAATGATAAAATGTCCTATTTTTTATGTTGAATAATAATATGGTGTTCAGCCTATATAATTGTTGTTGTTGTTCCGGGTTGTCTTGTTACAATTATAAAACATCGGCTCTCCCAGTATACTTCGGATCTATAAGAGTCTAATGCGAAGCATTAAAGTCGCAGATATCAGATTGGTCTTGGTAAGTAGGGGCATTCTTGGCCGAGTAATTGACCTCTAACCCTTGCCCCTCACCTCTCTTGGACCAAATCCCGATAAGGACTTTTAGGTTCCTTCATGTGGTAAAGTTAATCAACAAGTTTACGTACGTTGGTGGATTTATTAATGTTCCCATTCGGGCCTGAAATAATGCACGTTTCCAAGTCGTCTCGTGGTCTTTTGATGCGACATCATCATTTGTACTTTAACCGAGATCTTCAACTATATCGTATCATGACAGGAGTGACAGATACACGATTTTAGTGCCACTATTTGTCTTTAATTTATTTGTTTATTTTCGATTCAAATATTTGCTTCATATTTTCTTGACTATCCTTTAATTCGTTTGCAGATATTCACAATAAGTCATATTACTCCGATAGCGCACCATTGTGTGATTGTTTCAGTTGTGTGTTTTGTTCAGTGAAGTTGGTCTCCATGTTTCGTATGTTTTCAATTTCTATTGATCGGCTATTAGATTTTTAATGTTTAGTGTCCTGTACTTTCTAATTGAACAAAACGGAATTAGTATGACTGATAATCTTTATCACTTATATTATCAATTCATGCTTTTGTTATCATTAAAAACAGTCTTTGAAAATTGTTATAAACATGGTTTGCTTCAAAATAAGACTGTTTACTTAAACGAAAATTTAGCATCGAGGTGAACAAAACTTTAATAAAAGGAAAAATCAAAAAATATTATTTACATTACATTTAACACTTCGAACAGCAGATTATTCCGTTTTAAATCCTTTAATATGTTTAGATGGATTATTATTATTATCTGAAAAGATTTTTTTTTAAGTTTCGAGAAATAGTAACGGTAAACACTATAGCCACGATATCACTAAACACTTTTATTTACCTGATTGAGACAGTTTACTGAAATTGTTCTGCTCCTTTAACTCCAGAACAACAACCATAATTTCGAATTAGAACATATCCGAAGATCTATGGAAATATCTGATACAATGTTTGCAGATGCTTATCGAACACTTTCCCGTAATTTGAAGAATAAAAAAAATATTGCATATCTCTCGCTGTTCCTTTTTTTAAAAAGACAACTTGTTTATACTGTCGTCAATACATTTGTTAATGTCTTAAGCGAAACAGTTTTTACATTCAGTGTTACTGTGATCTTGACCTTTCTTCAATTTTGTTAAGAACCGCCAATTGTTTTCTTGTTTAGGGCACACACATTCTTTTATTTGAGGAACATACACCGCTTTTCATTGAATGGCACTAACATCATGCCACATTGAGGTTAATGATAGATAACCGCCGTATGAAAATTCTTTTCCATAAGTGCTGAATCCCACCTGGTCACAGCTGCAAACTTGACATCAACGCTTCCGCTAACAAAAACAATATTGTTATTATTACTCAATGATGTTGATTATTCTATTAAGTTACAAGAAAAGCATTGATGCAAAGCATCAAAGGGCGACGCCAAAAGAATTTGGTCCAGTTTTGTACCTACATACTTAACAAAAGATGTGTACTTTATAGCAGTAACATTACATGTGACCTGGAAGCTAGGCCCAGTTTTAGTTGAAACTTAAACCAAAAATAAAAGACTCTGTCTTGCCAAGATGCAAAGACAATTTAAAGTCAATTAACAAATCTTATAAGACTCATAAGAAAGAATTTCTTCAGATTTATTTTACCAGATACAAAGATACCTGAGTCATAAGCGTATAAATGTTGTATTTTCTCGATCGTATTCAATGACTGTAACACCGTGTCTATCTAGTAACGCAGAAATATTTAAATAACACTGGAATTGTACAAAAGAACCGACGTCGTATAAATACGCGTCTATACAAGACTATAAGAAATATAAGGATTCTTTTTCTGCGATCATTAAATTTCCGTAATGTTTGTGAGAAAAGCAATTAACTTCTGCTCATGTTGCATGTTTTGAGCTAGAGAAACTCCATTATACATTTCTACTAACCGTGCACCTATAATTTGTTGATTTTTACATGATATAAGAAAGGGAGAAAATTAAGGACATATTTACACTTCCTGATAAGCGTGACCGGATCGTACATCTTAAGAACCTCATTTAAACCTTGAATCATATTGCCAGGTATGACATCTATGCATCCCTATAAGAATACGATCTTTGAGACCTTCCAGGCCGGTTGTGCCTTGAACCTTTCTTTCAAGTTCCCTGTGCCACGTCGTATTTGTTCTTGCACTAGTGCATCCATGCATGTTCCTGGTCGAATGTAGCCAATAAAATTGACATATTATAAATGTGTTAAAAGTTGTGCCATATTTCAATAAAATCTCATCGACGAAAGTGCATTTTTTGTGCCTGAACTCTCTTATTGATACGTGCTGTCAACTCTACGTACTTTAAAAAAACAGCATTTATATAATGGACAATTTATTTCACAACAACGACGCTCGTTTAAAATTAGAGGTAAAACCCAAATTGATTTGTATTCTTTGTCGGTTTTGAAATTTGATTTTTGTTCTTCAGGTCAATTTTTCATAGAAAACATTTGCACAATAAATAAAGTGGAGTTGTAAAGAATTTTTGCACTATCAGTATAGGAAGATCGTGAGTATTTTTGTTTAATCAGTATAAATGAATTTTAAAACATACATGCATAGTCAGTATGGTGGGTGTGAACATATTTGTATCATCAGTATAGGGGGTTAAACAGTTATCCACTGAGACTAAGTAAGCAAACTACGGTTTTATTTGCAAAAAGCAATTCCTGACAAGAATGATAACTTGTCATTTGATAAACAAAATTGGTCATCCGAGCTGATTTATACAGATGTATGTCACCACTGCCTTAATTCCCCTGTGTGACTGCAAGTCCTGAGGCCTGGTTAGGAAATGATCTCTTAGCAAGACCAGGAAATAACTGATACAAAAAATGTATGTTATATAATATATAATTAGAGAGAAGGGAAAGAGAGGTTATGCCTGACTGTGTCCGTCATTAAGCCAGGCAATTGTATCCAAACCCTAA